TGAGGAGTCTCTCTCTGTTGCCCAGGCTGGAGTGCAGTGGTGTGATCTTGGCTCACTGCAACCTCTGCCTCCCAGGTTCAAGTGAATTTCCTGTCTCAGCCTCCCAAGTCGCTGGGATTACAGGCATCTGCCACCAGCCCTGGATTTTTAAAAAATATTTTTAGTAGAGACGGGTTTTCGTCATGTTGGCCAGGGTGGTTTCGAACTCCTGACCTCAGGCAATCCACCTACCTCGGCTTCCCAAAGTACTGGGATTACAGGCATGAGCCACCACGCTCAGCTGGAAGTTTGAAGTAGACTCGGCATAATTGGATTTACATTTGAGAGGAAGCTGTCCGTGTGCAGTCTCAGCTGCCTGATTGTGTGGGCCAGCTGTGAGACAGGTGTCACGTTACTTTACCTTTCTGCATCAGGCTCCGGTCAATCAGCAGACAGAACCTGCACGGTCATTTGAACAAGGAAAGTTTAATACAAAGGATTATTTACTATAATGGAATTCTATGTATAGTGTTAAAGAGAATGCAAAAGAATACTCTGGGGCTGAGAGAAAGTTCCCAAGGAAGGAGCAAATGTGAAAGAGTGGCCTCCTCCCCAAGACTGAGGCTCAAATCTTGGAAAAGGTGTGGTTGCTGAGATGCTGTGCCATGCAGTGGGATGACAGGAAGGTTCTCTGGTTTTCCCCTAGCCAGACCTGGTCCACAGTCAATGGGCAATCACTCCTCCAGGTGCAGGGGGGTTGAAGGTGGCAGGTAGGGAGCCCTGGCCAGGACTGGCAAGCAGGAAACACCTGTCTGGGGCAGGCTGAGGCTGGATGCTGCCCAGTGAAGCACCTGCAAGACTCACTGGGATCTACCCATGGCATTGCAAGTGAAGTTGGATGGGGGTGAGCAACACGGGGTGTGCTGGCAGCCACGTGGCAGGAACAAGAAGAAGAAAACAGAAGAAAGTGCAGAACAGGAGAAGTGCTTTCCTCCTGCGGGGTCCCTCCAGCACCCTCTACTTACAAAGCGTAACATCATACCGGCTTTAAAGGAGAAACCATTTAGGGCCCAGCTCCATTTTCACCAAGCAGGCAATGAAGTCTGTATTTGAAGCCGAAAGACAGTACGTGGAGAATTGGCAGTTTCAAGCCTCAGTTGGACCCTTGGTTTGTTTAGTGCTCACTCTGTGCTCCCTCACAATTAGTCTTATTTCCGATTCTCTAAGTAGATCTTTCAACACTTCTTTTTTTTTTTTT